ATCTTTTAACGTCTTTTGGTATGACGCGGCCGGGGATCGAACCCCGGACCTTCCGCTCTCCGATAACGGATAAAACTACGGCGTTTGCGATCATTGTCCCTGTGCAATTAGGGTAATAACTAACTGATGAATTGATAAAATACAATTTTGAATCAAGTTTGCAGGGACAGCCAGACAATTGTTTATTAACGTCTCACTTCTGTACAACATACTACATACATATATACATAGAACATAGATAAACGTACAGAACCACTCAATATGAGTTATGAGAGACGAGGTCACATAAAAATAAATACAAGTAGATAATATAAGTGGTAAAATATATCAAGAAGGTAAATCTCAGCATTATATAAAATATTCTTGCGTTTTTCAAGTAAAAGTTTGCAGGTTTGGGCCGTTAGAAACAACGAATCATCATTGGACATAATAAAAGAGAACTTATCAACATCAGATAAAACTTGAAAAGTATCACAGAGATTCGCACATGTAGTTAAAAGACTATCAGTAATGTTTTTATAAGAAGGATAATGAAATAAAACATGGCTTTCATCAACCACGCATTCATGACAGTTAAAACACACCCGTTCATTCAATGGTATATTATTGTAGCGACCCGTCTCAACACGGAGCGGGGCAACACCACAGCGGAATAGAGCTAGAGCACGGCAGCCAAGTATCCCAAGTTTCATCCCTGAAACGCCGTGGTCTAACTGAAGTATTGTATCAATCAGTCAAGCTCAATTTCAATCACACGCCCAATTAAATGCAGTCAGGTAAATGTGTTCAAACAAAAACCTTCACCTCCCTTTCGACGAGTGCTGTACAGATTAAACAAGGAAATACAGCGGATATAACGGACGCTTCAATCGGATTCCGTTCCATGGGTTGGCGTTTAAAATTGAACCCAATTCAAGTCTACAAAGTCTTGGCAAGTCTAGATTGCCTCGGCTCTAGGAATCAAGCATTGTTCTTGGATCCTTTTGTATTTACTTTATGTTTTGTAGATAATTATATATTTTTAAATAAGACATCTTTATTTCTGGGGCTAAATGTTAGTCTTCAGTCAAGTAAGTGTACATGGAGAGAAATGTCAGCGAACTGTCGTCACCTGGGAAATGTAGAGGTGTGTGTCGTCACGAAAAGCTAGTTTGTATGTTGTTTAACGCCGCACTCGGCAATATTCCGGCTATATGATGGCGGTCCGTAAATAATCGCGTCTAGCCTAGACAATTCAGTGATTGACGCCATGAGCATTGATCCACACAATTGGGATACGATGACATGCATCAACCGCGTCAGCGAGTCTGACCACCCGATCCCGTTAGTCGCCTCTACTGACTAGCATAAGTTGCTGGGGACAAGTCTAACCCAGGATCCCAATTTCAGTTTAATTAAGCTTCAAGACTTGGTGTCATATATATTCTAAAGTGATATTGTGTTCTGCATGAGTGACAGACATTTGCTATATTTGTCCTGAATTTATGTCTTTGCTACATGCTGTGCGATTCAGGGGTAGAATAGATCTTCAGCAACCCATACTTGCCGTAAAAGGCGAAAAACGGGATCGGGTGGTCAGGCTCGCTGACTTGGTTGATACATGTAATCGATCCCAATTTCGTGGAACGATGCTCATGATGCCAACCACTGGATTGTCTGGTCCAGACTCGATTATTACAGACCGCCGTCATAAAGCTGGAATATTGCTGAGTGCAGCGTTAAACAACAAACAAACAAACAAATAAACAACATGTTGTGCAATTATTTCATGTAATTAATATTAATTGTTTTCCTTCGTTTGGGTTTAGTTTTGGTGTTGTATGGTAATCCCAAACTGTTTCATATAGTTTTAAAAAAAATATTCGTTAACAGTTTATTTTTCCAGAATTGGAATTTCTGTGCTAAACTAGTTCTAGATAGGAAGTGTAGAAAGCTGATTAGAACCGGAGAAATATTTGTATACAATAACTACACGTATAACACGATATCATTCAGTAATTGCTAAGTGACATGCAAATCTGATCGATCCGGGGTAGAATAGGTCTTCAGCAACCCATGCTTGCCGTAAAAGGCGACTATGCTTGTCGCCGGTGTCCTCCCATTAGTTAGACGTCCCAATAGTTAGACAGCTTATAACAACACTTTAAACGGTTGAGTGCACACTAATCCTTATGCTTGTTACCTCAGACTTTAAAATGGAATAGTCCAGATAAGATCTGACAAACAAAGGAAAGCAGCTTTAAATAGATACTTTAATATTATACTTAACATTTAATGACACTTTTACATTTGATAAATTTTATACAGTTTGTAACAACACTTTGTGACAGTTTTTGGTAATGTACACTTTACATTTAATAACTTTTACAGTTTATTTATCCCAGACGAAGCAAGTGTGCTATGTGACAGAGGTCTGTTGAATCGCTCTTGAACTTCTGTCTTCAGTTGTCGAAAAAGCCGGCCATAGGTTGTTGCTTGGCGATCTGGCAAAAGGGCGAACACAAGAGGGAAGGTGTTGGGACCAACTCTGGCATGATCTGAATGATGTATACTTGATCCCATAAACCTTGACATGCTGTGAAGGTACCATCCATGTAAAGGGTGTCAGCTTCCTGGCGTGCTTGTATCTGTTCTGCAGTGGAGAACGCCAGGATCTTGTCATCGTCGCCGTCGCTGAACAGTAGAAACGGACGTCCATCTGTTGTCTCTGACCATTTGTCTTCAATGTCTACTGCTGACCGCGACCTGGGTAACGCTGGAATGTAACGCCTGAACAAGAGCAAAGGAACAGTTACACATATGTTACATGAAATATTGATAATGATTTCATTAACTTGAAATGTTTAAGAGCGAAACAAGTTATGTGGGACCTAAAAAAAGAGTAAATTCTAACCAAGTCAAAAATACGGGATGATATTTACCTGTAAAGTGCACCTTTCACGCTCTGAAATGACGGCATCGCTGGCATGTTGGCTTCATCTACATGTACTTGAGTGACTTGCTCCTCGTACAATGCCTGCATCTGTTTGGTTTCTTCTCGCGCTCTTTTACGAAGATTGCAGACAAAGTTCACTCTGGTTTCATCTTCAGGCGGATGGTTATGTTCCGACTGATTGCAAAGAAAGTCACCGACAGTCGTACATTTCCCATTGCACGTCTTGACGACACATCTCCAATGTGTGCAGGTTTGCCTCTCGCGGTTTCTGTTGTAAATATATCCATCTAATATCAACTGCTCACTTCCGAGCCGAGAGGTGAGGTACTCTACTTACCTTTAACCAACCATATCGATACTGATAATGATACGTACCCCAAGATCATTTTTATTTGTTTGATGAGTAGATAATCTAAACTCGACTCCTTCAACTAATCATACAGTAAGACAATTAAGCTACTCCATAGTTTACATAGGAAATCTCATGCCTATTGAACCTGTGCTGAGAGTAAGGTAATTTAGGTTAATTAAACGAAATTATAACATATATTACTCCCTAAACTGTGAGTCCCCTATCCCTACCCAGTACTTTAATCTAATTAGGACCGATCCATTACACCTGTAGGTATATTCCCTCTTTGCCCGAATAAACATGTCTAACAATTGGGACGTCTAACTAATGGGACGTCTAACTATTGGGATATAACCTTGTCGCCTGGGTCTGGACGACAGGCTAGGTCGAGAGTAGACTGTCTCATAATCCCTGAACCATATTATTTTCTCTTCAGCCCAGCCCTTTCTGTATATGGAAAGGCTCTAAATGAAGCAAGTCTAGATTCTGAATCCCCCATCCCCTCCCCTGTCAATGTGTCTCCTTTAAAATTGAGTTATTTGTTTATTATATATTTTCAGAGACTGAGCGTTAGTCTAGGACGAGAGGTTAGGGACGGCATGGGGATAGTGGGGTTAAAGGGTGAGGGTAAAGACACAAATACATGATTTCTGCAGACAGCAGACTCCGGCGTAGGCGATCATAGTCTTGCTATAAGGCTATACTGAAAGATAAGTCCATGGATGTGTAGTAATTCTATACCTATAATAGACAAGTCTAGACAAGCGGACAGTACAATCTTTTATAGGTACGCCTTTTCTTATTATTTATATAATCTCGAAATTATGAATTAAATACTTAGTCCAGTTGTTGCCTTAGACTTGTGCAAGTCTAGAGATCACAGAGTGCGGGAATGTGTGTATGTGAATGTTCTTGTGGATTGTCTTTTGAACTTGAGACGAGTTTGGGGCTGGGATAACGGTAGGTAGATGGAAATTGCATCTGTGGTAGGTAGTGTCATAATTAGGCTTAATTAGGGGGTGGGGTTTGAGTATATACTGCAAAGAGGGGTGCGGTCGTTAGTGTCAGTTTACATCATAGTTAGATAGATTTAGATAAAATCTGACGCACGTAACTAATGGCGGCGGTCAAGCATGGAACCAAATCTCTTGTCGGAAAATGATCCTAGATCTCGTTGCTCCCCCGTTATTATTATCGTATAACAATTACATGGACTGTGGGTGTAAGTAAGACAATGAGACAATGTGATAATGGGTGACACCGTCGGTTGATTCGTTAGACTGTGTAACCACCCAAACATTATACTTATGCTTAGTCTCTGAAAACATATAATTTTGATAGAAACAAGTAACTCCTCGAAAGAAGTCCTATCTGAACCCGGCGAAAAATCAAAAAGAGATGGGCGAAATAGAAAATAATAGGGTTCAGGGACTTTCAGACAGACTTCAGAAACATGCAGTTACTAAAATATTGCCTGAAGAGAAGATCACACAAACATTGAAATTCACAGATGCAGAATTTCCCAAGCGCCTCTGATCTCCGTCAGAGAGCTTTCAGCACAGTTTTCATAACACAAAGCCCATGAACACACAGGTTCTGACAACCCGAGACCCATCTCGACCCCCGGGCGCCTTGTTCTCCCACAGATACAGAGAGTTCACCAGACCCTGCCCCCTGCGATATGAATGTGTAATAGATACCCCATCCCTGCATGTCGGCCGCATGTGTTGGAAGCGTGGCACGATTATCTTCCACCAGCTGGCATTGGGGGAGGGAGAGAGCGTTAGCGAGAGGAAGGGGGATATTTGATCTAGCGTAGTGTCAGTAAGTGAGTGCGCATGGTCTCGGTAGTACCTTTATAACCTCGCTAGATCCCCGAGACGTAACATGGTAGCGAACTGGTAGAGACCGCACATACCACGCGTCAACTTAATGGTAAGTACCGTTTCTATCATGTAGGCTTACAAAGTGTACCAGGTTTTGAAACAAAAACGACGGTATATGGTTCTAATCATTGTAGGTTCTGTATATTACATTTATTTAATTTGCTTCTTCTGGCGTGGTTCGCATGTTGAATGCGTCAGAGAACGTTGTGGTAGAGTTCTAGCATCCACTGAAGCATCTCTCGCAGAGATGTAATTACCATGGTGACGTTGCCCTGGAACTGATTGGCATGTGCAGCCGTTTATTTAGCTTTGTCAACAGACAGCGCTAAGATAGGGGTTCGTATTTTTTGCAATTCCGAGGGAAAGGAGGACTTTGGCAGCCGTCCATGGCGTACTGAAGTAAATTGGAAGACCTGTCCTCCCTTGTAACGATTTCAGGGGACTGTTATCAGACGAAGAGCGAATGCTTACGTCACTGTTCCTTTCGTTCTGGGTCACTTTTTCTTTGTTATTGCCCCCCTTCTACCGGAGATCCGTTTAATTGGTTCAGCAGGGTAGACCCCTAGACTAACATTTAGTCTCTGAAATCTTATATTACACAATATCCTTCTTGACTCTAAAAATAAAAACAAATCCCTATGCTTATTTCAGAATAGAATGTGGAATAGAGCTAGCTTGAGCTGGCTAGAATTGCTTTTGTATGCATTTCTAGATTATTATTTTTTCATAAAATAAATATATTCCACGGTCATGGTGCAGGACTAGGTAGACCCCTAGTACAAACATGTATAATCTTTATTGTTTTTCACATTAGTCCGTATGTTCTGCTACACAATAGCAACATATGTGTTGATGTACCCGTGGGGGCTTCTCAGTCCACCTTTACTAGACGTAAGACTGGTCAGGCTCTGTAATTGGTGGATTGCCTATCATCGTACCCCGATGGCGTGTATCATGGTTCATAATACGCTTTCCAGAGGCAAGGGAGTTGACTGGCTATAAAAGTTCAGTTTCCACCCTTGCCGAACTAGGCTGGAATGTCGGTGCTACATTTAGGATAATCTACATACACTCTGTGTCTGCTGGGCAGGTAATGTGAAACTTTACTTCGGTTCACTTGATCAGATGGTATTTTGTATTATTTTCAGTTATAAGGTAATTGCGATGTATTTGTTTCGTCTGTGTAAAGTAATAAAAGAAAGATAAAAGACCAGAGTAAAGGCTTTACAGAGATACACAGAGATTGTGTTATGACAGTGATTGTGGCAGTTTAATCACGTTGCCGCGAATGGGGGGTAGTTAATGCCAGATGACTTTACATTTATGCGCAGTTATTCCCCTTTATCGGCTACAAGATGGCGCCAACACACTCACGTTACAAATCTATTTTCTTGCAATCTCACCTACATATCCCAGACGCGATAATCACAATCCCAGACAGTTCCGTGAATTTTGATTTCGCCTCACCACGTGTGCTCTCTAAGACCAAGTCTCGACCTATAAACTATATTTACAATGTGGTGCCGTGGACTGGCGCAGCAAGATTTACATACCCAGTATTTATCATATATTGAGGCCCCCTGACACCAACAGGTACGACACTAACTCAAGGCAGAACACAATACGATGCACCAACTCTCGGTTTGGGCCTTTATATCATTATTATACATGGTGGTGTCCATAGATATAGTTACATCAGGCAAATATCATCTGAAGTCTACTGAGAAAACAATATATGAAATGAAGGCATTCCTCATTGATGTCAAATTTCGGATTAAGATGTTTAGACGAGAAGTAGGCATCCGAATTGTGCTCCCCGTCTTGCTGACTCTTTTGTTATACATATGAATAGGAATATCTGATCGGATTGGAAAAGTCAAAATATAGGGATTTTTATAGCTTCAGGTATATCGACGATCTGATATGGTACAATACCCATTCCTTCCCAAAGATTTTCCAACCTGAATAGAAAGAGAAGTGAAACCGCTTTATCTCATTCACATTTATATCTATGCTTAAAGATTCATAGGGGCGGTCGGGTAGCCTAGTGGTTAAAGCGTTAGCTCGTCAAGCTGAAGACCCGGGTTCGATTCCCGACATGGGTGCAATGTGTGAAGCCCATTTCTGGTGTCCCCCGCCGTGATATTGCTGGAATATTGCTAAAAGCGGCGTAAAACCATACTCACTCACTCACTAAAGATTCACAGTGACAATACGCTCTCCTCAAGACTGTATGACAAGAAGATGACCTTAACTTTCCAAACAGCAATATTTCACTGAACGTCATACAGCTCCAGCTAAAAAGGTGTCTTCCTCAGCAAACCTTTCAAGAAGTTTTATGACAAACATGTACGTGGAGATTTCCAAATTTGACACATCAGTGACAAAAATGATGTCGGATGCAATTCCCTATTTTGACTTGTACCGTAATCTATGTTCCTGTGTTTTTTCATGCAAACAATTCACTTTTCTTTGTATGCATTTAGCGAACACCCCTGGTATCATCACTATAAGTCAGTGATTCATAAAAACAATCTTATGATAAAGTCGGAATCGAAAATGGACTGAAATGGATATTTCTTATCATTATGGATATGGCCTTGTCGCTTTTATTTACCTAATGATTAAGCCATGGAAAACGACATCTAGACCGATCTTGTTGTTATTACTCTTAAACCTTAGTGATCGAAAAATGCTTTCAGCAACGAGCAAGCAGCGAGCAAACACGTTGCTGTATTGAGTGAATCAATGAGTGAATATTGTTTTAGGCCACACCTTATGCCAGCTGTATGGCGATAGTCGGTCAGCGACTGAACTTAACCCAGAGGCATGAATGGTTGTAATTACTAGCTTGAGAATCGATGCAAAGAGGGAAGTTGACATATTCTTATCATGATCACAGACTGTACCCACACGATGCCCGTTTATTGGATGAATACAGTCAAACCTAAAAATACCAAACTATTAGACAATGGGAACTGGGCATTCTAGTGGTTAAAGCCGTAGGCCTGGATTCGATATCCCACATGGCTACAAAGTGTGATTCCAATCTATGGGCCCCCCGTCGTGATATTGCTGAAATGTTGCTAAAAGCGGTGTAAAACCATATCCTACAAGAACTAGTTTGCGATGTTTTTATGATATGAGATGAACTATAAGTGCAACGTCATTCAAATACAGTAAACCTCGGTTATAACGAACTCAAAGGGACTTCTAATTTTAGTTCGTTATAACCGTAGTTCGTTATAAGCATATATACAGCATAACTACAGCAAATAGTCGGGACCAAATAGTAAGTTCGTTATATCCGTCAGTTCGTTATAAGCGAGTTCGTTATAACCGTAGTTGACTGTAGTTATGTTTAACTTTTCATCACGTTTTATTTCTTTGTAGGGCCAAGGCTAAAAGGCAAATACCGTACAATGTCTTTGGCAGACTGTTTAAGGAGTGCGGAGGACGCCTTTGGTGCAAATGACTTTGAGGTGGCATTGTCTCATTACAATAAGATAGATAAAAGCAGTGACGTCGAGTGCAAGACTGAAGTTTACCTGAAGAAATCCCAGTGTTTGCTTGGTCTGGAAAGATACGAGGACGCAGTGACAGAGGCAGAGAAATGCACAGCCAGAGACCCTCTGTGCGTGGCGGGCTATGTTGTGCAGGGACAGGCCCTGACCATGAGGGGAATGTTTGAAGACGCATACAGGGCCTACAAGAATGGTTTGGACGTTAACGCTAACGACAAAGCCATCGCCGCCGGACTTCGACATCTTCAGCACGCCATTATCAATCAGTACGAGGCTGCGGATAAAGAGTCGGAGTCCAACTACGATGCCTTGAAAATGTGTTCCCAGGAGCGTTACCCGGGAGACGATGATGTGGAGAGTCTAGAGAAGGAAATAATGGAGACTTGGAAGTTGTTTGATGCGCCGCAAATAACTCCATTGATGCCAAATCCCGAACGGTCTCGCGTGCATCTCATCCAAGGACTGAGGGCGAAGGCCAAAGGTGCCTTGAGTGAAGCTCTGGAAGAGTTCACCGCAGCGCTGGAGCATGATGCTACCAACTTTGAGACCTGGAAGGGGAGGATTGAGGTTCTATACGAACAGAAGGGTTACAGAGAGGCCTTCAGAACCGTCAACTCGTTCCCTGAATCTGTGCGGTCAGCGGAAGTGTGGCTTCTTGGAGGTAAGAGTTGAGAAATAAATCATGTTATCTTTGTGGGTGAGTAAAGGTTTAATGCAGACTTCAACAGCCTTTGGGTTATATCACGGCGTGTCAGTTTGATGTGGGAGGAAAGACCGTCGGCGATATAATGAAGGTCTGAGACATTTTAAACACTTTGAGGAAACCCATGCCAGGATCACGGGCATGGCATGATAACCAAGAAACATAATAAGGGCTAATATGGAATTCAGGCCCACTGTCATGGGTAACTGGTACACCCAAGAGACGCAACTCTGCAATGATATAGTCGATTTCAAATAGGAGGACGTGTATTCTGAACATAAACTGCCGGGCAAAAGAAAGTATACACCCATGTTTGATGGTGGCTAAAAATGAAATGGTTATTCAATGATGATGTAATTGATACGGGTATCATAGTTGTCTTTTAGACCTTAAGTTTGCAGTGTTTCGACGACAGTTTTCATCCTAGTAACGTTTTGATAGCGTTTGTAATTGTATGGTCAAATCCAATTTTCAAGTGTATTTGTTCTTTTGTGAAGTATCCCTGTGGCATGTATACCCACGGTGAAACGGTCTGTAGGGATATCTTTTGTTCCTGATTTCCTGTATATTACACGCTTATTTTAGCAATTATTAATATTAAGCAAAAGCTATAATTATTTCAGTCACCGTACGCGTCGTTTGAGCAACGGGTGCACATGTTTTTGTCCGGTACAACGTCCGGTTTAAATATTAGCTCTTCGACTGATTGTCAGGATGTTAATGGAAGAGTTGTCGTTGCTTGCCTTCAAAATGCGGACACCCAATTTTGCCAACGGCCATTTTGCATACGTAGAATATAATTTGAAAAAAACAACACTTTGGGACAAGGACCTTTCGGTAACAATTGATTTTTCACGATAAAATTCCGAGTCTGGACCAGACAGTCCAGTGCCTGACATCATGAACATCGATCAACGTAATTGTGATACGATGACATGCATCAACTAAGTCAGCGAGCCTGCCCACCCCAACTCGTCAGTCGCCTGTTACGACAAGCATAGTCACCTAAACACGGGTTGCTGAATACCCATTGTAACCTGGATTTTCACGTAGTTACATGTTGACACGAGCCTGTATACAAAACATCAGCGAGCTGTTGTGCGATGGCTCCTTGATATTTTGTATACACTGTCGAGCGTCAATCTGTGTAGTTGTTTCATCCAAAGGCCCTCGAGCTTGACCCTGAGTGACTCGAAATCTTTCTGACGCGGAATCTTATTCAATATTTCATAATGTCTTACAGGTAAGGGGCCAGACCTTTTTTAATCAGATCACGATGTCAGTACCTCTTTGTGTCAACATTGTTCTACAGTTTAATACTACACTACACTACACTACACTACACTACACTACACTACACTACACTACACTATTCCTCCTGATTTCGTTTGATGTAGTTACACAATCTCATTAAAATGAGACCTTAGCTCACGCTACCGCTAAACACAAACCTGAGGACATCCCATTACAGGTCAGGTCAGAATGACCAATTAGAGCGTAGCTTACAGATCAGGAAAGTGGCAGTCAGGATGTGTTTTTTTAATAATTGCAACCTCGAAAATGTAAACACGGGGTATTCCGAACGACGGTTACAGGCTGTGCGACTGATTCCGTAAAGATCATCGTCAATATCTCGCTTCAATGAAATAAACATTTATAAGACAGAAGATACTTTACAAAGCAAGTGGAAAGCTCTGTCCTACAATCTCGGCCATCTATTGGACATTAGAGAATGTTCTATTGTTTCGTTTTCAAATTTTTAATCGAAATTGTCTGTCAAAATATTTAATGCGTGTGCTTGAATGGAAGTCGTGGGCTTGAAACTAGTGCAGATAAGCTCCAGAAAACTGCTTTGTGATTGGCTTATATCGTCTTCTTGTTAGTCATTTCATTGGTCGGTCAAAGTTCGCGAAATGTCGTTCGAGTATGGCATTTATTTCCTTGCAAACATCAAGGAAATTATGCCGGTTATTGGATAGGTTTTGGTTAACAAACGCAAAATGCTTCCCGAATTATTCCAGGCATATTTTGAATTCTAAATGCACCCCGCTCCCCCCCCCCCCCCCCCACACACACATTTTGACTTCCTCCTTGCCAAATTTCAAAAAGCTGTATTCGCGCTTGATTTGTTTGTTTGTTTGCTGTTTAACGCTGCACTCAGCATTATTCCAGCTATATGACGGCAGTCTGTAAATAATCGAGACTGGACAAGACAATCCAGTGATTAATATCATGAGCATCGATCCACGCAATTGGGATCGATGACATGCATCAACCAACTCAGCGAGCCTGCCCACCTGATCCCGTTAATCGCCTTTTACGACAAGCATAGTCACCTTTTACGGCAAGCATGGGTTGCTGAAGATCTATTCTACCCAGGAATCTTCACGGGTCTATTCGCGCTTGAAGTGAAATTGTGATATTCAGCTCACGTCGTGGCAGAGACGCTTTGCTTGTATTCCCCGATGGATAATTGCTTATCGTTTGATATAAACATGAAGCACCTGTCTTGGAACGGGAGAAGGTTAACGGTCAGGTTAATATTGACGCAGGCTGCATGGCCTGGCTGGCACAGAAGGGCGGGACTGCGCTGTAATGGCGCGCAATGTCAGGAACGCAGGGACCTGTAAAAAAGCTCAGATCAAGGGGTAAATGATTGCATGTACACTCAGTACTTGTGAGTTTATAAGAAAATTGTGTAAATGGTTAGTGCCAGTAAGTGTGAGGAAGTCTGAGAAGATTGTTCATAAAGATGTTTGGGCATCTGCTTCGTCTAGTGTAAGTTGTATGCGCTTGTAAGTGCTTGTATGTGTCAGAGTTAGAGTGAAAGACTGAAAGATTGAGTACGGATTTGGTTTGAGAAGTGGTAATTATAATACAGCTCTGATTCCGATCATGGAAGTTGGAGAAATTAACCAGGGCTCAAAGTTTTAATATTTTACCAAGTAGCCATATTGCCTCCAAGTATTTATTTCCAGGTAGCCAGTGGTAAAGAAGTCAAGGCAAAATTGTAGGTAGCCAAACGCATTTGAAATGATCTTTTTTCAAATTACTATATGTACAAGTCATAGCACTAGTCTTGGAATTGTATATTAGTGGAAACTGTACTTGAGTTTTGTTATTTTCCTTATCCAATAAATTATCAACTAAAATGAAATACTTATGTTATTCGGTTCATTGTCGACTTTAGGAGGAATTATTTGCGAGTACAATTAGTAGCAGACATGTTTATTTTTGTGTCTTCATATGTGTAGCAATAAAATGTAGTCGCCACAAGATATTTCTGTAGGTAGTCATTTGGCTACCACTGAATTTTAGACAGTAAACAAATTGAAATTTAGGTCGCATTGGCGACCGTTTTAGTCGCAACATTTGAGGCCTGTTAACCGGAGAAAACATCTGAAATACAATTTCGATAAAGTAAGAAAATGGTATCACTTAGTATCATTAATAACAGAAAAATATATGTTAATAATATGCTAAGAAATAGTTATCTCCGGATTTGTTGCTCGTTTCCACTTTAGTTCTAGAATTGTGTATTATTAGTCGGTGGTGGTGTCGCCCTGTGTCCGTTCACAAAGTGGTCATTCACTCACGCGTCCCTGAGAAGATCCGGGTTATTGTTGGTCCTCAGCAACCAATGCTTGTCGTAAGAGGCGACGAACTGGATGCTTTCACTCATTCAATCACATTCACTATATATTCATCTATGTGATGACGAGGCAGTGTCTCTATGTAAAATCAGGGAGTTATGTTCTCAATAACTGTTTATTCATACAAGTTGGTCGCTATATGGCTGACATGATGCCGATGCGACGTTAAATTTTAACTCACCCACTCATACAAATTGACTTCTGGTGACTCTAGTATGTTCATACTATGTTGATTAACAGGCAAGATTCTTTACGGGCTGGAGTTACCGTTGATGGCGGAGACGTGGTTGAGGCGGTCTACACAACTCAACACGGAAAAGGAAAACAAGGAGGCGGCCATCTTGTTCCAGACGATCCGCGTTGCCAGGTTGTATGGCCCCTTAGCTAGCAAAACCAACGCCGAGGTGGCCTTCAGCAAATATGGCCGCACTGTGAAGGCGAAGAAAGATATGAGAAATCACGATATTATTTTGACTGACAAACCAATGGTTCTGGCCCAGACTCTAGCAACCCAGGATGTCCCGGCATGTTGCCAGTGCGCCGTTTCCATGTTGAAACCGGAAGGGGTATTCAGTCCCACAGATCTTAAAAATGAGGAACTCAAAAAAGCCATCGCGCAATGCTGGCCGAAACGAAAAATTCACCCGTGTCAGGGTTGTTCCAGGGAGATATATTGTAGTATAGAATGTCGGGACGAAGCGTGGACCACCTATCACAGAGTAGTGTGTCCTTCAGTCAACAAGTCCATTCAGAAGCTGTATAAAATCTGTGACGATTACAAAACATTGAAGGATGGCGACGGCCAGTGCTGGAAGGGTTGGTGGAACGCATCATTCTCTCCCTTTGTTCTCGTCAAAATGTGGGCAACTATTGCCTGTCAAGCAAAGCGATTGGCTGAGAAGGCTGGAAGACCCATCCCAATAATGTCTGATTGGAGCATGGCCCAAGCTCCTCTACGGCGGTGATTTAAGAATTATATTTCCTCTCCACTTCTAACTCTATTTTCCTGGAGCATGGTACTAACAGGTATACTTCTTCCTTTTTTTGTTGCATTTACTATAAATTATTAGTATTGATTCTCGAAATTATCAGTGACTAGAAAAAAATATATAAGATGTACAACGCAATCAATAACATCATAAATTTAAAACCCTTTTGAACTTTATGCTGAATTTGATATAAAATCATAACGTAACTTCATGCGTTTTTATAAAGATATATGTTGAACTTTCTAAGCCCTATTACGCTTTTAAATAAACAAAAATTGTGACAAAAAAGTTTGTGTTTTCCTCTTTACCCTGCACACAACCTCACTCACCCGTCTCTCGCCCCCTCCCCATATCGTCCCTACGTTCACTGTTATACCACTTCCACAGTAACGCTATCCTCCTCCCTCAGTGATGTATGACTCTTCATAGAAATCAACATAGTGCACCAGTCTGTTTCAGCAACATGGCGCACCAGTCTGTTTCAGCAACATGGCGCACCAGTCTGTTTCAGCAACATGTCGCACCAGTCTGTTTCAGCAACACGGCGCACCAGTCTGTTTCAGCAACATGGCGCACCAATCTGTTTCAGCAACACGGCGCACCAGTCTGTTTCAGCAACATGGCGCACCAGTCTGTTTCAGCAACACGGCGCACCAGTCTGTTTCAGCAACACGGCGCACCAGTCTGTTTCAGCAATATAGTGCTCCAGTCTGTTTCAGCAACCTGGTGCTCCAGTCTGTTTTAGCAATATAGTGCCCCATAGATAATCTCACACATAGTGCATGTCAGGATATGATATATGTAGCTCCCAGCCAATGTTGCCTTTCCACGTTATAGAAGGAAGCCCCTGCACCTTTGGTACACCTGTGATCTTCCCTCACAGTTCTCATACTGCCACCAGTATAAATAACTAACCAGTAGATTGGCCTTATATATATATTAACATAGTTTTATTCAGTCCCACAGATCTTTTTTTTACACGCACATTAAAAAAATTTGGATAATGTTTTTTACTCGGATTTTCATTCTTGATATAATATACATTCTACAAAGCATATGTATTGATCGTAATATTATCTTTAAAAAAAAATATTACATGATCGTGAATCGCTTGGCTGAGAATTGGGATTATAAAAATAACGCCAAGGGCATTAATTTTCTATTTAGATGAACAGAAACATGGGAATTTACTTTTGAACACGAATGCAGGGTTATGTAATTATACCAAGGAATTCCGTCCGTCATTCCGAGGACATTTCTTTTTTAGGACCTATAACTTAAAAACTACTTCATGGATTCTTTTTCAATTGGGGCTACAGTTAGGAGAGGTGCAGTGCAAAGTTTGATTTCGCTAAATGGATTTTCTGAGAAAATATTGCTTTTTTCATGTTTTGAACTTGTTGGAAATATGTGGAAGTCGGGGGTATTAGTGAGCACTGCTCAATTTTTGTCTTGTTCATAGTACTTCATGTAAGACACACATTTCAGATTCATTGCGTATGGCTCTTCAAGTAACGCTGATGTCATCCCCAAGATGTTTCAACTTATGATCGAGATCTTTCAAGATCTTGGCGACGGACTGAAATACGACATCACAAAACGAGAGTTTGACGGGAGATACTTCCAAGCCACGTGCAACGTCCAAGCATTTTCTGACTCCAGAAACCCGCTACGAATTTTCATCGAGCGATTCAGAGACAAACCCAAATGGCACGCCATCGCCAAATTCATACCAGCTGAGCCCCCGGAAGGAGAGTTCGCTGGTATGTTTCCTCTTCACGCTTGCATGAACCACTCGTGCGCAAACAACGCGGAAGTGATGGACTACGTTGTCGACGGTAAACCTGGCGTAGGAGTACGGGTCCGCGGAGGGATGAAGAAGGGCGAAGACGTGTGTATCACCTATATAAATACAACCATGCCTCGACGACAGCGCCGAGCCTGGCTGTACCGCTCCTACAACTTCTGGTGCAGGTGTATCAGGTGTAACTTCGAGGGGGAGGGGCCCATGGCGTGTACACAGTGCGGGAAGTCTGCCGATGAAGGCAAGAAGTTTCCCCAGTGTTCCAAGTGCAAGAAGGCGTGGTACTGTTCAACGGCGTGTCAGAAGCAGGCATGGAAGAAAGGACACAAGAAAATATGTAGTATGGGTCATTCTGACACTAGCTCCTCTTCTGATCAGTATGTTTTGAAAATATAGTGCTTTGTGTGTTGTCAGTGTTGCAGCTATGGTTGTATTGTGATGATAGTTTAGCGTCTTGCGCTCTAATATATGCATTGCAATGCATGCAGAGATCATTAATGATAACGAATGTTTCCTTGACAATCATATTCTAAAACGACGGCATCATAGTGCTATTCCTGCTCATCTCTTTGAAACGCATGCTCCATCTTCGTTTCAATAGTATTACCTATTATAAGGGTAACGCTATTTCCAGGGCATTATCATTTGCAGAAGCCCGAGGTCTTCCGTTAACTGCCCGACGAAGTAGGGAAGTTGAAAAGACCGAGGGCTTCTGCAAATGATAATGCCCTGAAAAAGAGCGTTACCGTTATTATAGCTAAAATGGATGGAATTTGTTATCAAATAAAAAGAAACAGCAACGTCGGTTTTGAAACATTTACTGCAGTCAACACAAATGTCACTGACCCACTTTTACAAATATGGAAACGTCATAGAACAAACCAGATAACGTCACTATTGAACGAGACGTCACCTATCCCTACCCTATGACGTCATCTAACAACGGGCGTGATAATGGCCCATCGTCAAGCCCATTACAATGGCCCGCTGATTTCTGATATACATGCGGGCGTTTTAATGATAATTCTATCCATTTTAGCTATAATAGATTATATAACAGGTTTCTTAACAGTAGAAGCATTCGTGTGAACAGCCGTTCAATTCAGGCTGGAAAGTCGAATGTTTGCATGACACAGCAATAGTATGAAACTGCCTGCAGATATTGGTTTCAGTTATTATGTAACATGACACACATATGATTGCAGTGCTTAGACAGCTTGGGCGCTCAGCCCAGATTTGATACAGTGGCGATTTGGAACGTCAAGGACGACTGTTATATTCCATAACGGGGCATTGTGATAATAATGTGTACGCGATTCCAACTCTCCACGTTGCCAGCCTGTTTACCTATGATTTAAAGTGGGCTTCCTAACTTCAGAATTGTAGATAGCAAACATATTCTGTGTATATTCACGGTAGAAAGAAATTATGCATATGTGCCTATTTATCACAAGGAGTATAGTCCAACCTTACGTAGCAGCAGCAGCAGCAGCAGCAGCAGCAGTAGTAGTAGTAGTAGTAGTAGTAGTAGTAGTAGTAGTTTTTTAGTAGTAGTAGTAGTAGTAGTAGAAGAAGTTTTTAAATTTGTTTTAACCCATACTGGTGTTATGGTGCGCTGAACATTGACAAGAATGTTTTCTGCATCACAAGTCAGTTCAAAAAAGCATAAACGACTCACAATGTCTTATAACTGTATAAGGTTTGGCAATATTACATTCCCATTACTGATGTCAAGCAGCTTCAATAGGACAGAATGGTTCGAGCCAGTATGACGAGGTAAAGGTACCCAAGATACATTTTGACAAGTATATTGTTGTGTATACAGATGGTTGATAGACAATCTAGAAGAGGCTTATAGTCTTTATCATGAAACTGACTGTCCGTCACTCACTCATACATGACATTGACATGAACACATTGTTTCCATACGTATAGATAACATTGTCTTGTAAACTAACTCTCCCTTACATTGTGATGGAACTTCTGCATAGAATGCATCTTTAGAAATGTATATTACTTATATGTATGTGTTGGATTGTGATATTTTAAGCTGACTGACTTGTCTTTTGTTGTGAGCATTGTGTGCTTGTGTGATGGATATTTATGTTTGGCAGTTTTTATGTATTTATCAAATGCATGTAATGTATTATTTTTCATGAAGATAATGTGTACATGGATCGGAGGATGTAGCCCTGAGTATTAACCTGTGATAATGTAAAGCATATACCTGATGTTGTATGTGAGTGTTCACCTGGTCCATGCACTAGCCACCTGCTAGGCCTTCACTGGCAGGCTAGACTCCACATATACCCAAGTCCGTTCCGTAACTTGCTCACTGACCATATTCAGAAAATATAAGTCCCAACAACAAAGGAAATAATAATTTCGTTCACTTTATATTAGTTATTAGTCGTAGAAGTATTTTCTATTTAGGAAATATCAGTGCTTTCCCCAAAAAGTAATAACCATTGTGGTATTTTAGTAACAGCAGCAGCAGTAGTAGTAGTAGTAGTAGTAGTAGTAGTAGTAGTAGTAGTAGTAGAAGTCATAGTAGTAGTCGTAGTTGCATCAACATAAGTAGCCGTATTAGTAACTGTGTAGTAGAATTAGAAGTAGCTGTAGAAGTAGTAGTAGTTGCAGGAGTAGTAGTAGTAGTAGTACAAGTAGAAAGTGTGATAGAAGCTGCAGTAACAGTTATAGTAGCTGTTATATTAATGGTCAATAGTATCAACAACTGTAGTTTTACTGATTCATGTAAACAGAAGCTGTAGTAGTAGCAGTGGTGAGTATACGTAACAGTGGAAGTCATGATGGCGCGCCAAGCGGTGTCCAACTCATGGTGAAAGCGATTACCTGTAGAGGCGTGTTCCTCCCCGTGACATATCTCAGCGTAGTCGTAAACCACCTGTTTTAACTTCCCATGTTGTTTTCATTCCAGAGTGACGATCTACAACTCCCTGTGTGTTTCTGTAGTTTTATTTGACGTAATATATACATCGCCGTCGTTTGAAATTCCCTTTTATATCTTGCTTAAAAAAATAGAAAATCTTGAGTTCTTTTGGGGATTCAGGATTCGTATTTTTCGGTGAAAATGTATGTATTGCGTCCAATAACTTCCCAACCGGAAGTGACCGGAGAGAGCCATCCCTGGTGTGACCCGAGCACGTGTGACCCCCCAACAGATGACCTTCATCTTGACCTACAAGTGTGAAACAAACCACCTATGCCACAGTTTTTTCCTCCCCGTTGCCATAGAGATTGGTTTTTTCACCCTGCATGTATCGTCCACCATGACTAGAGAAGTTTGTGAGCTTGATGAAATAATGACGATTTGACACTTATTGGAATCTGAATCCAAAGCCAATTGATATCGATTGTCCCTTCTTCCAGTCCATGTTCTTCGTGGTTCATTTCCCTTGCTCAAATAGATCCTATTTACTAACATTCCTTACTGAATCTTTCATCAGTTGCCCACCTCCCCTGACTGATATGTACCTAGACGGTAGCAATAAAAAAACATTCTACCTTCACCTTCGCCATTAGAGTTTTAAGTAAAGTTCATTTAAAAAAAAATTCTTTTTCAAACGGTGTTGAAAATACCACCTTAACAAATTACTACTCCTCAAATGCTAATTTATCATAGGTATTTTCGCAGAAGCGTGTCTCTCGACTTTTGTTTTAGTTTGAAATCAGGGAATATTTATTAAATATTATATATGATTCTCTATTAACCAGTAGCATCAGGTCCCAGTTGGGTGTAGCATTGCAACATTTCGAGAATGTTGAGCTTATGACCAAACATCAGTCTCACTCACTCTGTCACCTTTTTTTTTGTCGCTATGGACCCCCTCACATCTGTAATGAATATAAATAAAGTTGTTGTATTTCAGGGTTTATCTTATACGCACACATTATTTTAAGTTATTCAGTCTACTTCTGTTAAACCCATGTACATGTAGATGTGTGAATATTTGTTAAGAAAAGTGTTTACGCGTTATCCGAAAAGGTTTGTTCAATAAACATTAAAAATGAAAATGCGTGTTTTGAAATTTCGTTTACCTGATACCATACAAATATGTTGATATGCCTTCGGTCACGTACTTTTAGCAGTGACCATAAAATAGATTTATAGATCTGCTTTTTTTGACTGAAGAGAGTTTATGCAATTTTGATAATTATTCCGGTCATATAACGTCGGTGGGGTGGAGGTGACAGAGGCTTCACGCATTGTACCCAGGTAATGGTTCGCAAATCAGTGTGTCAATCACCTGGCCCGACACACTTTGAACACCATTACCATATTTTTCTGTCGATCTGTTCACTTAAAGCATCGAACGATATCCAGGGTCAGGAAGTCCAAACGTAACACGTTAACTATGGACTGCCGACCCTCAGTCGGATTCCAACCACGTGATCAAACGTTCATGATCTTTATCGCAAAGAAAAATAGACATTTCTTGAAAAGCGCTCCATGCTATTTTTTTTTTTTCTGTAATATTCCTTATCGGCAGAATGGTTTGTTTTCACTTAATAAGAATCAGCAAACATGTAGCTGTCTACGTTAATTAATCATCGCGATATCTCGTGATTCCGTTTCTCCACAGCACTGTTGTAACTACGTGGTTGGACTTTGGTGTGGAAAACAACGTCGACGCTGGAATGTAGTTATCTCCCCGAGACTAGGGACTTAACTGTCCATATAATTCCAGTTTCCAGTAGCACGATAGTATAAGCCTTGTGGGACAAGCGGCGCTTGGAATGAAGGGGCTTTCAGCAATATTTCAGTAGTATCACGGCGGGGGACACACGTGTTTGGCTTCACGCACTGCCTTCGACGGGACTGGGCCAGACAATCCAGTGACTGACATCATGAGCATCGACCTACACAATAGGGACACGATGACTTGCATCAAGCAATGTGTCCAGTAAGAAGCTTAACAAATCTGAAACTAAAGTTAAACGCCGAGAACAGCAATAGTGTAACTAATCTACCAATACACATTTTTTGTTCCTTGTTTAACGCCGCCCTCGGCAATACTCCAGACATGACGCCGGTCTGTATTTGACTTCATGAGCATCGATTCGAGCAAATTGAATACATGACAATCAATAGTGCAAGCCACAGTCTTACCGCCCGATCCATAAAGTCGCCACTTACAAAAAGCATAGGTTGCCGGGCTCCCATATTCATTCCCAGAATCTCCACGGGTCCGACCACTTTGCATTTGTTTGTTTGTTGTTTATCGCCGCACTCAGCAATATTCCTTCTATATGACGGCTGTCTGTAAATAATCGGTCTGGACCAGACAATCCAGTGTTTGACATATGGGCATCGATCAACGCAATTGGGATCGACATGCATCATCCAAGTCAGCGAGCATGACCACCCGATCCTCGATCTACACAATTGGGATTCGATGACATGCATCAACCACGTCAGCGCGCCTGACCAACCGATCCCGTTAGTCGCCTCTTAAGACAAGCACAGTGGCATGTTACAGCAAGCAAGGGTTGCTGAAGACCTATTCTACCCCGGATCTTCACGGGTCCACTATAGCATGATGTACTGGGGACACATTTTGATCACTGGCAGTTTTGTTGAATGCTACAGATGATATCGGTTGGTATATTTAGAACGAGATTGTTTGAAAACAAATGCGGTGTGTTTGTTGTTTAACGCCGCACCCAGCAATATTCCAGTTATGTGACGGTGCCTGTAAACAATCGAGTCTGGACCAAACAATCCAGTGCGCATCGATCCACGCCGTCGACCTGACCATCTGATCCTTAAGTCGCCTCTTACGACAAGAATTGTTTGGTGGGGACCTATTCTAACCCGAAATACAAACCGTGTGTAGGAATTGGTTGACGCCAAAACCATTCAACCCTCATTCGCATGGCGAACTGAACCCGGGAACTGTTGCGCCCCAAAGAGCCGAGGACATTGGACTTGGAGGTACAAATAATAATAAAATAAACTACATAATGCTATTGTATAAATTCTCAGAATAACCGCATTGTTGTAACATAACGAATATTGAATTTTAACTTTTATTCATACCTTCTTACCTTCAGACTTCTTACATGTCCGTGTAAAGACATCACATATCATATACATCCAATAACATGTAAATACATCAAATACCATGTAAATAAACCATATATATTACTACAAAAATCGTTCTTATCATTATTAAAAATAGAGGTGCCGTTTTCGCCAAATGCGGTGCCGTTTTCGCCAGAGAAATCGTTAACGTTTTGCTGAGGTGCCGTTTTAGCCTGCACCCCTACAGGTGATAACGGCTGGTACACAGAGTTACTGTGTCTGAAGACAAGTGGATGGATAGACTTGGAGGGGATTCAGTACGTCCATTGAATATACGTCATATATCCGAATAGGTCAATAGTTGCAAAACTGGGTTGAAAATAAACAAAACACACACTTATTTGGTAAATAACACGTTTAATGAACAAACAATTAAAGTTGAAATAGCTGTACATAAACATAGTTCTGAAACTCCTCAAGTATGACAACCAATACACAAATCATACTTCATCACACCTAATGTCTGTACATTACAAAGAATTTGGTTTGTTCATGTTGTACTGAATTTACAAGAGAAAGGGAGGATTAACTCCAGAAAAAATGATTATGGCATAAATTTTTAAACGCAATCTTGAAAAGTTCACTGGATTCTTTTGTAAATGGCCTAATTGCAAGCTCTAAATTCTTTTATTAAACCCACTACCAGAAAGCAGGCCGGTTCGGTGCCACTTGTAAGTTGTTTTTCTTCACAATAATTCACTATATACCTTAACAAGTTCCTTTGTCAAGTGGTATACAGCACAAGCAGATAATAATGGTAACGGCTCTCAGACAACCCTACTAATCTTTTAGTAGAAAATTCTATAAAGCAATACAATTACAGCACTGTGTTACTATGGGTATAAAGGTTCATGAAAAATATAGTAAAAAAATAAATGGATATATGATCCAGAAATGAACACAACATCCTATCTGGATTTTGAGCCATGCTTTGGTAGTGAAAGCAACCTGTCCAACTAGTTGCCAAGAGTTTGATACAAATGTAGTTATGAGTTATGCTCCAGAAATGAAATTAATGCTTCACATATTTGTGTCTAAGTCCGGATTTTTGTCAAGGAAACACAAAAATATCATTTTAAGATATATCAAAAGGCACCAGTTCAGCAAGTGACTGATTTCAAAATATCATAATACAATATTAAACAGTTGCCGAGTGATGCTCTGGAAATGAAATGAGATGGACAGATGAATTGACAGCACTCATTCCTATACCCCCCTCTCACTTGGTGGCGGGGAATAATAAGTGGCTATTGAATATGTCCTGTCTTTACAATTTGTGATGTCACTGCTAAAAAAAATCATTTGGGTTCGGAACAATGGAAATGTGTGTGGCTTCTGATCATCCTAACACTGACCAATGACTAGTAATTGATTATTTACAAACATATCTCGATTTAGGGAGCTTAATTTAACTTGCACAAGGTGAAAAAAGCTAGTTGTACCAGAAAAAACAAGGTGGCACCCAGGTCCCATAAATTTATTAAAGCTGAAACACAGATACATAAACTAGAAAGTCTCATATCACAAGGACTAATGATGTAGTTTGGTAAATAAAGCGTGAACAACAAAGGGTGAACAAGTAAGGGTGAGTCAAACAAAAACAAAATAATTTCGTTCACATGCACAAAGACATAAATGTTAGGTTGCATTTTTTAATAATAGTTTGAGCCCTGACCATGATCAGATAACATGATTTACATGTTACAAGTTTACAATCAATAATCTGGGAACAACCCCCTCAGCCGTTTTAGTCACTTTAACATAACATTTGTTCAGACTATACACACTGCTTTGGCAGGTTATTAGATTTGAGGTCTAAGAGCTGGTCATACATAAATAAAATCAAAACAATAAACATTTGACAAGGATTCAGGTGACATGATCTGACCTGTCTGTATCAAAAACGATTTTGTAAAATAATTTCACAATCCAACAATATTTGCATAAGTGGAACTACAAACAGTGTCAGGACACGAGTGACTTCGAGGACCCAGGTTTTCAGCCCAAAGTAACATTGCAGCAACATATGCTTTGCAAACAACATTGATGTAAGAAAGATGTGTGTGTTGTTTTACGTTTCTGTCAGCAATATTCCAGCTCAAAGCAGCCCGTACATAATCAACTGTCAGACAAACAGTTACCATGGTTACCTGTAATTACCATATGAGCAAAGTACCATGCTCTGCAACTGATGCCACTGAGCCTGACCATAGGATCCATTTAGTCGCCTCTTACAAGTCTAGGTTACAAGGAACCTATTCTCACCCAAAATACCCAAGGTAGTGAGAAACGAAACACTCCAAACTCAAAACTGTGTCCAAAGGTCACCAATATTCAGGGATACTCCTAAGTTTACGAAACTGGATAGTAAGCCTTATTAAAAAGTATGCATTTAATTTCAACATTCGCAGGATAACCATTCTAGAAATACTTCTCACATCCTGAACAGTAATGTATCTGGTGGATCAGGATGGCATGTTTTTAACTAATACTGAGGAAGAATCAATATGCTACTGAGGTACACTGACATTCAGACCACCAAGATGAGCAAGTTGGGTTTACCACTACTTTCAACTGTTTATCAATAAACCAAGAAACATAAAAAAATGGCCTTAATACATTTTGAGTTTCCGCCAGTCTCAGACAAGAGGGCCATAGAGAACCATGCAAAATGAATATAAGCATTCATAAAACCAGAATAACTGGTTGTCAAAGTAACACATTTTCAGGGAATTTGAGTTGTGAATAAACAGTGGTCATGGGTTAGCCCGTTTGATCACCTTGACCATACCGCCACTACTACCCACGATGAGGTTACACTCTGGTGTGGATGCAAGAGACTTGGGTATGAATCCTTGGTCAAACATGAGAGTGTGGTCATCCATCAGTTTCCCCTTCCAGCTGAGCTGAATGACAGCCTGACTGGACGTGTCGGCCACCAAGATGTTGCCTAGTTTGTCCACACAGACTCCGTGAGGGCAGAACTGTTCTTCATCATGGTGCAGACCTTCACCACTGTAGATCTTGGTGATGTGGTAACTGCATCCCTGCTTGGACAGAAATACAACCCTGTGAGCATTGGGGTCTGTTACTATTACCATGGACCGATTGCCTTTGCTCCATAAGGCGACATCTGCCGGTTTCTTGAACACGGTTCCCTTCTCGTCGTTGAACACCCACGATACATGGCCTCCATCTCTCTGAATGTTGATGATACCAGCCTTTGATGCTTTGGATGAGCCAATGGCGACAATGGTTTCCTCTGTTGTAGTGATTGCTGAAGGAGCTATCGGGAGATCCTCAGCCAGTGGCAACAGATGCATATGATATAGATCTACCATCAGTATCTGGATGAGCTTCTTTGACCCTGAGGCAAGAAACACTGATCCTGATTCACTGACAGTAACCGAGCTCACTTCAAAGTTAATACTGAGTGTATTTATCATAGAACCAGTGGTGCTCACAATATCTAACTCACTCAAACAAGGATCATAACATACTATTATTCCTGTTTTAGATGAAGCAAGAGATCTTGCTTTCAAATTCCCTTTTGGTACTCTAAATGTGGCTAAAAGTTTAGTTCCTCTTGGCACAAGACCTCTGTCAGATTCAGCAACATAAGTGTTGAGCCTGCCTAGCACTGCATCGATCTGTGTGACTCGTGATCTATCAGATCTGGATGTTTCATAAGCAAAGTCAGAACTAACCTCAAGTGGGCCAGGAAGATCTTTCTTCAGGCTATCAAGTCTTTTCTTTAGTTCTCTGCGATTATCCTGCATCTCCTGGTAGGAACCCTTCTCCAGAGTATTTGTAATTTTGTTCTTCACTTCATCCAGCTGCTTGAGACCCATGTCAATTGTTTCAAGATGTGTGGAGATGGTTTCAAAACTGGACATTGCTCTCCTCTGCAGTTTGCCCTCCAAACACTTGGAACGGACAGTGACTATCTTCAGGACAGTCTCCCAGTCATTACTGATCTGTTCCATCACTTCGTCTACCTTCCCCTGGCATCTCACCTCCATCTTCACACCTTTATCCTTCAAATCCTCCAGACTATGACACATTCTCTGAGCCTCAAAGTTGCATTCACGAAGATCTTTCTTGATTGTGTTGATTCTGTCCTCCAGATCCTCTGACCTATGTCCTTCATGGGCAGTCAGCTTGCAAGACATACATATAGGGACATTGCAACGGAGACAGAAGTAGACGAGGATCTCTCCCCTGGCATGATGCTTCGGGCACAGCAGGTACTCACCAGCTTCTGCAGCAGCTGATTCTTCTTGGATGAGAACCACGTGATGGTTCCTGTGAGACTTTGGCTTCTTATGACTCTTCTTACAGCCATTGCAGAGATTCTTGCGACACGTCCTGCATTCAAATTTAGCTACACCATTCTTGCAGATGTTACATACACTCTGTGACTTTGGGATGATATTCTTTTTAGTTTCAGATGAGTTGGTTTTACCCATTTCCCTGATATTGGTGATGTAGAAATTAGTCTGAAATCCTTGGACACCTTTTCCTGGTATCTTGACACTTTGCCTACACTGTGGGCAGGGGAAATGTCCATTGGTGGTTGTCCTGCCAGCATGCTGCTCCAGGCATTCCACACAGAAGGTGTGAAAACAAGGCAGCAGCTTAGGGTCAATGTACTCCTCCAGACAGATGCTGCAGATGACGGCCTGGTCACGGCTGTCGGTGTCGCCTCCTGCTGCCATCTTCTCTCAAAGAGCCACTACTGAAGGACACACCTGATCCTGAAAGTGACAGAATAAATACATCAAATACTGTAACATATTTCTATCTTAGCAAAAAATAAAAACTGCCACTGAACACAAATATACAGTACGCCCATTTGGGAATAGATGCCATTATGCTCAGAAAATACAGGATGTTAAAAATATGCACAACATCATAACAGAACAATTTCATTCTTTTTACATTCTGAACTCAATTACCCTCTTTTTCGAGATCATCAGCTAGGCTTGTTTGAATGCTTTGTTCACTCATTACGAGAATTTAGAAGCCTGGATGCTGATTGTCTGAAGAGAAAGTTCACCTGATGCAACCCATGGAGATCTCCTCAAATCTTCATGCAGAGAGGTGTCAGAGTTAAACATCTGATCTTAATATTTAGGACTCATTTCATTGGTTGAACAAATGATTTTATGAGAGCTTCAATTTATATATTTATTTATATATATGATCCACTGACATCACCATGCTTCTGCCTCCAGCCCACTCAGCCTCCTGAGTAAACTATGCTCTGACTTGAGTTTACCACAGGACACAAATGGAATTGCTAAAGATTTCCCTGCTTACAGCCCCACAGTTTCTGGCAATTTCAATGCAGATACAGGGTTCTAAATACCCCACGACAGTGCTTATTATATGAAACTCATGACAAAGGTACCTTTAAAAAACTATATTAGACAAATGCAAAAAAATTAATACCATATGAACACAATTCATGAATAGTGTGATTCACTAAACAGACATGAGTATTCAGAAGTTGAAAAAGAAAATCAATCCCAATGAAAAGGGAGTAGTACACCATATGGACATTTCCCACACAGACAATACCCCACATGCCAATACCCTGGACGGACATTACCCTACGACTTATATTAAATTGGATATAATCTGACATGTATACTATTATATTTTATATTTACAATATGTAAGAGGGATGGGCACTATGATTCATACCCGCTCCCTCTCCTCCTATCTGATGTACCCAATACTGGAACAAAAACTATAAAAAACACACAATTGAAACAAAACTAATCATGCTAATGCATATATTACAACTGTTAGATAAATGATTGCATATCAGCCGATTACAAAATTTATTTACTAGGGCTGTTACGATTCACTCGCGTATTCGGTGAATCGAACCGTATCCATTCATGAATTGAATTCGTTATTCGTTGCCATTAGAATCGAATATTTATGAATATGCAAGTATGTGCATTTACATACCCTGTACCTAAAAATATCCATAAGAACATATTATATGCATAGATTTCTTCAAAGACAACACTCTTATAATATTTGATTTAACAGTATTGGGGTCACTGGTCTTGTTATTGTACTCTTGAATTAATATTTATGTTCGTTACCCTATATTCGTGATACGAATCGTATCCACCTCATAGTGTATTTGTTGCAGCCCTATTATTAACCAACAGTTACATTCAGTTAAACATTTGTATACTACTATTCAATTGGTTTTAAATGATTAATAGGAACTGTTACAAAACAGATTTTCAAGTTAAAATACCAAAAATGTAAAGAAACGTGGGTAAAAATAATTTGAATACCCACTTAAATTTGTGAATACCACCCAAAAATCAAACCCATGGGTAAAATAATAAAATCTAGAGCTCTGAAAAAGCCCAAATACTTAAGTCATTTTAAATTACTTTTCCATTGATTCTTTCCAAATGTTGTTATGCTCTATTTCATCACCCAGTTTTGGAACCTGATAGGATTAAAAGAAAACAAAAGTCAATAAATAATTTGGCTTCCCTGTCTTTTGTGATTTTTTGAACTTCTTAAAAAATTTCAGTCAATCGGATGGAATAATAATTCTAAAATGACTGAAATATTTTGGAATTTTGTCAGTTGCCATTTGAAGTGAATATTTCAGTCATTTTTACTGATTGACTGATTTTACTCATTGAATGTAACATAAATTATACACAACAATTGCTGGGGGGCACAGGTGGCATCCCTTGGGCATGCCAGAAACCTATGATCCTGGGTTTGAATCCTGGTTAGCCCCAGATATGTATCTAGGTTTGTCGGCACCATACAAAAATGGTAAATATCTCAGATATTCATCACTTTGGGCTTTCTTCTCACATTTAGCTGACACATCGTGATAGCACTGGAATACTGTTAGAAGCTGTGTTAAACTCCACTAACATATGATAGGGCACACTCCATGCATGGTGATAATGGATACCAGTAGCAAAGTCAGGAATATTTTATATCCATTAAACATGTTAACAATATGTTAAAGCAGGAAGCTTGATCATATTCATAGGAACACATAACTTTTGTTTGTGGCTTAAGGCAGCACATCAAAATATTCCAGGTACATGACAGCGTTCTGTAAATAATTGGAGTCTGGGCCAGACAATCCAGTGATTGATATCACAGGTAACATCAGATGAACTGTCTGGTCATCATCCAGTCAGTATCAAGGCTGTGTGTGCAAACGACCAACACAACAGGCCTACACAAATTTCAATGCTGCACTCACATTCCTAGGTGTCTGGAAGTTTATTTGACATGGATGAAAAGAACAGTAACTCTTCATATTAAAGGAATATAATTCTTCATTGTCTGTTTTGCCCTGAGATTTCAGTGATGCCAACATACAAGGTTGGTACTACAAAATGTACACTTTACACCTTGTAATTAGCAAGCATCTTCCTGAGACAAGGAAGTTAACTGACTTTAAAAGTCCAGTTTCCACCCTTGCTGAACTAGGCTTGAATTCCTGGGCTCGATTGTAGCGCCACCAGTGGCTATTATGATTATGTCCCTTCTATGCCTCTCCTATGGACCAATCAGATGCCACCTCTTGTAACACTTGCATTTGTTTCAAACAAAATGGCGGCGTCCAGTCAAGACGATCTGATCGATAATCAATATCCATATTGTGATAAAACGGGTCTTACATCGCGAAATGCATCAAATCACGTCAGCACCTTGATTACAAACATGAAAAGATTTGGCAAATATCTGTTGACGACGAGTTGGCGGGGCATATGCTTTACAAAACCTGCATTCGACCAAAATTGGCATGACAGATTTCAATTTCGTTGCAAGATTTTGATTGGACGATGCATAGACTCGTTAGTCCAGCCAAAATGTAACTCCATAATACCAGCCTAGGTCGCAAGGGTGGAAACTGGACTTTCATAGTCAGTAAACTCTCTGCCTCTGGAAAATACTACCAAGCTCCTCACACTGATATCCTGTTCGCAGAGCTCACTATAATATCGCTGCAACCAGAGAAAGCTCCCCACTGTAATACGTGGCTACAACCATGTTTGGAGTTAAACTCGCAAATGACTGACCGTTATGTTTACAAACAAGCGATGACTGTCGATACTTTTACCCCTGCTAAACTACTATCTTTGTCAATTTGAATTTCTGTTTCATTAATACTATCATATAATTGGTATAATAAGAATGTGAGGCAGAAGATGGATTATTTCCTATTCGATTCTGAACATGCTGAACCAATCCGATCAAAGAAACAAAAAGGTAAATTCATCTTTGAAATATGGTCAGTCGTAAACCTTTTCAAAATTAACTGAGTTGGCATTCGCAAAGACATAAACAAGAGTGTAAGCGATACTACATTTGGGGTTGGTCAGCAAATTTCAAGATTCTTGTGATGGTCGCACCGACACTGGTGGCAGTGATGTTACTGAGAGTGTAACGAAGGTGTCACGCGCTGGGAAGGAGCTTGTGTAATAACAAGGCAAGGAAAGTAACCCTGAGGTAACTTTTGTACATTTTGTTAAATGTAATAAAATCTTGATTTCCTTCATTAAAAGCCGGGCCTTGAATACAGGACGGGGTCCTAATTAAATGCTGGGGTATCAAATAAACACTGGTTAGTTTTTATGCATGGAATTATCCCCATTATTATCTTTGCGGTAAAACAATAATCTTTGAAATCTAGTGTTGGTGAAGTGTGTGTGACTGCGTGAAGTGTATTTATTTTTAGTGTGTGCGGTGTGTATGAATGGCGTGAAGGCTTGCAGTGCTTGATGAGTGAAGTGTAAATATGTGGACTGTGTTAACTGTGCATGTTAGTGTATGTATGATGAGTGAAGTGTAAATATGTGGACTGTGTTAACTGTGCGTGTTAGTGTATGTATGACGAGTGAAGTGTAAATATGTGGACTGTGTTAACTATGCGTGTTAGTGTATGTATGATGAGTGAAGTGTAAATATGTGGACTGTGTTAACTGTGCGTGTTAGTGTATGTATGATGAGTGAAGTGTAAATATGTGGACTGTGTTAACTGTGCGTGTTAGTGTATGTATGATGAGTGAAGTGTAAATATGTGGACTGTGTTAACTATGCGTGGTAGTGTATGTATGATGTGTGAAGTGTAAATATGTGGACTGTGTTAACTGTGTGTGTTAGTGTATGTATGATGTGTGAAGTGTAAATATGTGGACTGTGTTAACTGTGCGTGTTAGTGTATGTATGACGAGTGAAGTGTAAATATGTGGACTGTGTTAACTGTGCGTGTTAGTGTATGTATGATGAGTGAAGTGTAAATATGTGGACTGTGTTAACTGTGCGTGGTAGTGTATGTATGATGTGTGAAGTGTAAATATGTGGACTGTGTTAACTGTGCATGTTAGTGTATGTATGATGTGTGAAGTGTAAATATGTGGACTGTGTTAACTGTGCGTGTTAGTGTATGTATGATGTGTGAAGTGTAAATATGTGGACTGTGTTAACTGTGCGTGTTAGTGTATGTATGATGTGTGAAGTGTAAATATGTGGACTGTGTTAACTGTGCATGTTAGTGTATGTATGATGTGTGAAGTGTAAATATGTGGACTGTGTTAACTGTGCGTGTTAGTGTATGTATGATGTGTGAAGTGTAAATATGTGGACTGTGTTAACTGTGCGTGTTAGTGTATGTATGATGTGTGAAGTGTAAATATGTGGACTGTGTTAACTGTGCGTGTTAGTGTATGTATGATGAGTGAAGTGTAAATATGTGGACTGTGTTAACTGTGCGTGTTAGTGTATATATGATGTGTGAAGTGTAAATATGTGGACTGTGTTAACTGTGCGTGTTAGTGTATGTATGATGTGTGAAGTGTAAATATGTGGACTGTGTTAACTGTGCGTGTTAGTGTATGTATGATGTGTGAAGTGTAAATATGTGGACTGTGTTAACTGTGCGTGTTAGTGTATGTATGATGTGTGAAGTGCATGTAAGAAATGAGTGAGTGAGTGGGTGAGTATGGTTTTACGCCGCTTTTAGCAATATTCCAGCAATATCATGGCAGGGGACACCAGAAATGGGCTTCACACATTGTACCCATGTTGGGAATTGAACCCGGGTCTTCGGTGTGACGAGCGAATGCTTTAACCACTAGGCTACCCGACCACCCCATGTATGCAATGCATGTGTGAAGTGCATGTTATTGTATGAAATGCATGTGTGAAGTGCATGTATGAAATGCATGTGCGAAGTGCATGTATGAAATGCATGTGCGAAGTGCATGTATGAAAGGCATGTGCGAAGTGCATGTATGAAATGCATGTATAAGGTGCATGTGTGAAGTGCATGTATGAAATGCATGTGTGAAGTGCATGTATGAAATGCATGTGTGAAATGCATGTGTGAAGTGTTTGTATGAAATGCATGTGCGAAGTGCATGTATGAAATGCATGTGTGAAGTGCATGTATGAAATGCATGTTGAAGTGCATGTATGAAATGCATGTGCGAAGAGCATGTATGAAATGCATGTGCGAAGTGCATGTATGAAATGCATGTATAAGGTGCATGTGTGAAGTGCATGTGTGAAGTGCTTGTGTGAAATGCATGTGTGAAGTGCATGTATGAAATGCATGTGTGAAGTGCATGTATGAAATGCATGTGCGAAGTGCATGTATGAAGTGCTTGTGTGAAATGATGTGTGAAGTGCATGTATGAAATGCATGTGTGAAGTGCTTGTGGGAAATGCATGTATGAAGTCCATGTATGAAATGCATGTGTGAAGTGCATGTATGAAATGCATGTGTGAAGTGCATGTATGAAATGCATGTGTGAAGTGCATGTATGAAATGCATGTGTGAAGTGCTTGTGGGAAATGCATGTATGAAATGCATGTGTGAAGTGCATGTATGAAATGCATGTGTGAAGTGCATGTATGAAATGCATGTGTGAAGTGCATGTATGAAGTGCATGTGTGAAGTGCATGTATGAAATGCATGTGTGAAGTGCATGTATGAAATGCATGTGTGAAGTGCATGTGTGAAGTACATGTGTGAAATGCATGTATGAAATGCATGTGTGAAATGCATGTGTGAAATGCATGTGTGAAGTGCATGTATGAAATGCATGTGTGAAGTGCTTGTGGGAAATGCATGTGGGAAGTGTATGTTTGAAATGCATGTATGAAATGCATGTATGAAATGCATGTGTGAAGTGCATGTATGAAATGCATGTGTGAAGTGCATGTATGAAATGCATGTGAGAAATGCATGTGTGAAGTGTATGTATGAAATGCATGTGCGAAGTGCATGTATGAAATGCATGTGTGAGTTGTATGTATGAAATGCATGTATGAAGTGCATGTGTGAAGTGCATGTATGAAGTGCATGTGTGAAGTGCTTGTGTGAAATGCATGTGTGAAGTGCATGTATTAAATGCATGTGTGAAGTGCATGTGTGAAGTACATGTGTGAAATGCATGTATGAAATGCATGTGGGAAATGCATGTGTGAAGTGCATGTATGAAATGCATGTGTGAAGTGCTTGTGAGAAATGCATGTGTGAAGTGTGAAAGGTTTGTGTGTGCAAACATACAACGTAGCTGTATATATTGGTGCATGTAGACACAGGGTGTTTGTATACAACGTAGCTGTATATTGTATATATTGATTTCTGAAGCTAAATCAGTGATTTGTTAACACAATATGCAAAATTCTAAATTTGACTGAGCATTGCTAGTAACTCGCTCAATTCATACACCACTTGCATAAACATGGTCCAGGTTAACATCCATAGAACTGTCAGTGACTGAACGCCATTCGTTATCTCAATACTGAATCACACACTAGGGCACAGTCCATGAAGCAGAAAGTGATACGGCGTAACCACCTCGACTCGAGCGGTGGATCACGTGTGAGAAGAAGTGGGACATTGGCACCACTTACTGAACGTTTGACAGTCCCAATAGTTTCTTTAAATCTGTCACACGTGATTGCAAACAAGTGTATTTTATGGTTTCTGGTTACATATGTCAATTTGTACTTACTTTCGACAAGATTCGTCCAGCTGGAACCTAACACCTTGTTAACTTCGCGCCTTACTTTCGGTTCCGTGGTCAGTTTGATTTTAGAGTGACCTCCCCTTGCCCGTCAAAGTACAAACTCCTGCCAGCGCGTGACACCTTCGTTAAAGTCTTGGTCGAAGTAGCAGGCTCCTCCCAGCGATATCCCGTTCGCGGGGCTCTTTTATATACTATCGCTGCCACCAGTCAAAACTCCCCACTGTGAAAATACTCGGTTACTGTATATTCAGAACACAGCGACAGTGAAACCCCTTTGTTTTACAGGTTCAATACTTTTGACAAAATACGTTTTCTCTCGGAATTTAAATGTACGTAGATACATGGTTTGGGGACCATGGGCCTGTTCCACAAAGCGATCTTAGTGCTAGGATTGTCGTAAGCCTGTGTTAAAGTATGGGAGTTACGATCATCTTAGCGCTAAGACCGCTTTGTGGAACTGACCCCAGGCCATTTCTATGGTTTCCACTGATACCTCTGGCTGTGGAATAGACCAAAATACCCGGATTTGTAAATTTTGTCATGAAAATCTATATGTATCTGTTGTTGAGGATGGAGTGCATTTTATTACTGCATGTCCATTGTATAAACAATAGCGAGACAAATAGTTTTTGCCATCCTTATCGTCCAACCATCCATGTAATGTGGACATATTAAAAAACATATTGACTGGTAACTGCATGCTTTAAAAAGGGGCTTTGGTACACTAGTTAGGTTGTGTGAACAGTTAAAGGGGGATTATTTATTGAAAGCTGTACACCATTCAGGAAACCTGTCTCAACTATGCTAACAGTCAAAGGGAAATAACTGAACTAATGCGTTGCGCCTTGTATATTTTGATTGATGCTCTATACATCCCTATGTAAATACTAAATAGCGATGTTTCATATAATTCATATTCATGCTTATAACATGTACTTGTGGCCGGAGGCCTAAAATACTGCAATAAAGACTTGACTTCCCTTTTTTGGGGCGGCAATTTATGCACAGATATATATGTAGCTGTAAATAGTGGTGCATGTACACACAGGGTGTCAGTATACAACGTAGCTGTATATATTGGTGCATGTACACACAGAGTGTCTGTATATAACGTAGCTGTATATATTGGTGAATGTACACACAGGGTGTCTGTATACAAGGTAGCTGTATATATTGGTGCATGTAGACACAGGGTGTCTGTATACAAGGTAGCTGTATATATTGGTACATGTACACACAGGGTGTCTGTATACAACGTAGCTGTATATATTGGTACATGTACACACAAGGTGTCTGTATACAAGGTAGCCGTATATATTGGTACATGTACACACAGGGTGTCTGTATACAAGGTAGCTGTAAATATTGGTACATGTACACACAGGGTGTCTGTATACAAGGTAGCTGTATATATTGGTACATGTACACAAAGGGGGTCTGTATACAACGTAGCTGTATATACTGGTGCATGTAGACACAGGGTGTCTGTATACAAGGTAGCTGTATATATTGGTACATTTACACACAAGGTGTCTGTATACAACGAAGCTGTATATATTGGTGCATGTACACACAGGGTGTCTGTATACTAGGTAGCTGTATATATTGGTACATGTAGACACAGGGTGTCTGTATACAACGTAGCTGTATATATTGATGCTTGTACACACAGGGTGTCAGTATACAACGTAGCTGTATATACTGGTACATTTACACACAGGGTGTCTGTATACAATGAAGCTGTATATGTTGGTGCATCTACACATAGGGAGGGTGTCAGTATGCAACGTAGCTGTGTATATTGATACTCGTACATACAGGGTTTCAGTATACAATGTATGTACGTACGTGGAGCCACATATCAAATGCCACATGCCACATATCACATATCAAATGACATTCCACATGTCACATATCAAATGACACATGTCACATATCACATGTCACATATCAAATGCCACATGCCACATGCCACATATCACAAATCAAATGTCACATGCCACATGCCACATGTCACATATCACATATCAAATGACCCATGTCCAATATCACATATTACATATCACTATCACATATCACTTATCACATATCAAATGCCACATTCCACATGTTAAATGCCACCCGTCACATTCCACATACCACATGTCACATATCACACATCAAATGCCACTGCCACATATCGCATATCAAATGCCACATTCCACATGTCACATATCAAATGCCACATGCCACATATCACATATCAAATGACATATTCCAGATATCACATATTAAATCACACATGCCACATGCAACATGCCACATATCACACATCAAATGGCACTGCCACATATCAGATGCCACATTCAACATGTCACATATCAAATGCCACATCCTACATGTTACATATCAAATGCCACATGCCACATATCGCATATCAAATGCCACATCCCACATATCAAATGACACATCCCATGACACATCACATCTCACACATGTCACATGACATGTAATACAAATAAAATGGTGCATATCCCATATCCCATGACATATGACATGTATTGCATATCAAATGACACACACCACATATTCCACATACACATTGCACATGCAACATATCAAATGCAATTCATGCCAAGAAGATATTCAGTGACAATTGTCATGTCACGAAGACATCCTGAAGGCAGAATAGTTTCAAGAAGACCAATGTAGGCAATTCATGCCAAGAAGATATTCAGTGGCAATTGGTTGACACAAAGACACCCTGGACGCAGAAGCGTCTCAAGAAGACCAATGTAGGCAATTCATGCCAAGAAGATATTCAGTGGCAATTTTACTGTCACAAAAACACGCAGAAGGCAGGAGCATGCCAAGAAGACCAATGAAGGCAATTCCTGCCAAGAAGATGTTCAGTGGCAATTGATTGTCACGAAATCAACCTTGAGGCAGAAGCGTGTCATGAAGACCAATGAAGGCAATTCATGCCTAGAAGATATTCAGTGACAAAAGACTGTCACGAAGACATCCTGGATGCAGAAAAGTTTCAAGAAGACCAATGTAGTCATTTCATGCTAAGAAGATATTCAGTGGCAATTGACTGTTACGAAATCACCCTTTTGTCAGAAGAGTGCTATGAAGATCAATGTAGGCAATTCATGCCAAGAAGATATTCAGTGGCATTTGATTGACACGCAGACACTCTGGACGCAGAAGCGTCTCAAAGAAGACCAATGTAGTCATTTCATGGCACGCAGATATTCAGTTGCAATTAATTGACACGAAATCACCCTTGTGTCTGAAGAGTGCTATGAAGATCAATGTAGGTAATTCATGCCAAGAAGATATTCAGTGGCATTTGATTGACACGAAGACACTCTGGACGCAGAAGCGTCTCAAGAAGACAAATGTAGTAATTTCATGGCACGCAGATATTCAGTTGCAATTAATTGACACGAAATCACCCTTGTGTCAGAAGAGTGCTATAAAGACCAATGAAGGCAATTCATGCCAAGTAGATATCCAGTGGCAATTAACTGTCACGAAGACACCCTGGACACAGAAGCGTCTTAAGAAGACCAATGTAGTTATTTCATGCCAAGAAGATATTCAGTGGCAATTAATTGACACGAAATCACCCTTGAGGCAGAAGCGTGTCATGAAGATCAATGAAGGCAATTCATGCCTAGAAGATATTCAGTGACAATTGTCATGTCACGACGACATCCTGAAGGCAGAAGCGTGCTAAGAAGACCAATGCAGGCAATTCATGCCAAGAAGATTTGCAGTGGCAATTGACTTTCACGAACAATTCCTGGATGCACAAGGAATCATCAGGAAATTCCCGAGGACCAGGCATCCAACCCCCCAACATGGCCAATGGTTTCCACAGAAGACCCCTGGATACGTCGATCAAGTTAGGTTTAGTGATTTAACTCTGCACTAACCTGCACTTATCCGCACTAACAACCTGCAAATAGGCGCATTAATTTATACAAAGACACTTCCAAATTCTGTAGCGTTAGGTCCAAAACATGGGATTGTTTGGCTGTCTGGGGCAGTGTCAGCCTCGATTTATCTGCCTGAAGCATGCCCGACTGATGGATCACAAGGGTAACACCCAGGAGGCAGAAGACTTCTGAAGGCAATATTTGCTAAGAGGATATTCAGTGGCACTTGTCTGTCACGAAGACAATCTGGTCATTCATGTCACGAAGATATTCAGTGGCATTTGAATAACACACCCTTAAGACACCCCGGAGACAGTAGATGTACACGAAAACCTCTGAAGGTAATAATTGCCAAAAAGGTATTCCGTGGCAATAGACTGTCACGAAGACATCCTGAAAGCAGAAAAGCTTCAAGAAGACCAATGTAGGCAATTCATGCCAAGAAGATATTCAGTGGCAATTGACTGTCACGAAGTCACCCTTGACACGAAGACACCCTGGACGCAGAAGCGTCTCAAGAAGACCAATGTAGGGAATTCATACTAAGAAGATATTCAGTAGCAACTGACTGTCACGAAATCACCCTTGAGGCAGAAGTGTGTCATGAAGACCAAAGAAGGTAATTCATGCCAAGAAGATATTCAGTGACAATTGTCATGTCACGAAGACATCCTTGAGGCAGAAGAGTTTCAAGAAGGCCAATGTAGTCATTTCATGCCAAGAAGATATTCAGTGACAATTGTCATGTCACGAAGACAACCTGAAGGCCGAATAGTTTCAAGAAGACCAATGTAGGCAAATCATGCCAAGAAGATATTCAGTGACAATTAACTGTCACAAAAACATCATGGTTGCAGAAGCGCCTCAAGAAGACCAATGTAGGGAATTCATGCCAAGAAGATATTCAGTGGCAATTGATTGACACTAACACACCCTGGACGCAGAAGCGTCTCAAGAAGACCAATGTAGGCAATTCATGAGACGAAGATTGACTGTCACGAAATCACTCTTAAGGCAAAAGCGTGTGAAGGGAACCAATGTAGGCAATTCATGCCAAGAAGATATTCAGTGGCAATTGATTGACACGAAGGCAACCTAAACGCAGAAGCGTCCCAATAAGACCAATGTAGGCCATTCATACTAAGAAGATATTCAGTGGCAACTGACTGTCACAAAAT